CATTCTTTGTATAACTAGTTACCTGCTCACACTATTCATGAGGGATGAATAATCAACTGTCTCTACGGTTAAGTACATATATTTTCTTCATTACTTGTGTTCTAAGTGGAATATGGAGCTTCAAGCATTGAAGGTTCAGTACCGGCGGTTATATTTTCTTACACAGTGGCGTTGCTAGCTTGACGCCCAACCTCCCTTCTTCTCCAGGCTTACTACTGGCTATCGTCAATTTAAGAATGCGTCAGCCAGGAATCGAACCGGAATCTCTTGCGTGACTGGTGAGTTTTCTACCATTGAACCACTGTTGTACTCTACTGACGTTTCCAGACAGACGCTGATTTGGGATCTACCACACTATTGATTAAACGTGTATACAAAGAGCGCTATGAATATATGTAAAGCGGTATTAGAGTAAAACGTGAAAGGATTCGATTTTGAAAAATACACTCACTGCTTTCTTACATACACTCACTCCGCGCACTTATTTCAAATAGTCGGAATTTTTAACATTTGTAAAACTAGGTACTCATACACCGGATGAGAGAACTGTTTGCAAGCAGTGACGATGTGTGAAAGACAATCAAAACATGTTCCTCGAAGAAAGCTGACAACGTCTTCAGTCAATCATCATCACATCTGTTCGATACAACTAAGTCACTAACATAATTAGCGAATCCATGTGACGCGGTGGCACACCCACACAAAACCGTGTCCCATTCACACGAAAAGAAGGTGAAAATTTCAGTTTAGATTTCGTTACAAAGTAACATCTATCAGAGAATCACTGCAGAAGCCAGAGTGCACTGGGTACTTATTTCGCCCTAGTTTGAGGCTCTTCAGCAGTGCACACGCACCATACCGTAATTTCTTTCCGAAATACCTGTGTGTTTAGAGCTGTCTGCTAGCCGAAATTGGTAGACAGCAATTTACGTCAATGTTTACGTCCCATATCTTGGTCATGAGAAGAAACAAGAACAAAGCCCAACCTTGAGGAACTCAACAACCAACCGAAGCAGACAGCGTGGGCAGATACAATGTGCAGATGTATCACCGGACTGTCTAAGAAGCGGCCACAAAGAGATGACATAATAACCTTCAGCAGAAAAACAACCAATCAGAAGAGGCTGCTTCTCTGCTAACAATAACGCTAATAATAATGTACATAAAAATCTAAAAATATCTGTTGATTTTCTCAATAAACGATCTGTTGCCTGACCCTTGTCTTCTGTCGGTATACCTGAAATAGAAGGGATATTAGTGTTAAGTCCCCGTGAAGCCCCATGAACAACATAAGACCTGTTTGAATTAGTTTTTGGAGTTGCATCTATATTAATGTTCTTAACACCGTTACGGATCGCTGCAAGGTAAGTCGGGATGTACAGTTTTCAAGGTATATCTTTTCTAACCCCGGTTCCTGACCACGGCTGAGAGGCAGGAGAAACGCCTTACTGCTGTTGAATCCTTACTTGGCAACAGTAGGATTTCGCCCACCCCCCCACCCCCATGTGTAGTCTAAATGACTTACACTATGATAGTGACTGTTTTTAGTGTAACAGCTATCCAAACGACGTTTGTGACATTGTACGATGTTCAGAGACATTCTCCCCAGCCAGTGTAGCTCGATGGCTCATTGCAATAAAGGAAGCTCGATTTGTTTTTATTCCTTTACGTTCCTAGTGGAACATAGGGCTTGAAATTTTTGTAGCTTCATGCCCAACCTTTCCTCTTTACCAGTCTTGTTGGTGGCTTAGTGAGGTAAGGGAGTGTGTCGGTGGCCGGGAATCGAACCCTGGACCATGTGAGGTGTCGTTGACGAGTATTCTACCACAGCGCACCACCGACGCATTGGAAGCCCGACGATCACCACATATTGCTATTTCCGCACACGAGGCCAAGCTTACTAACCACGCAGACACTTCAGCTGGAGTTAAATGACCCATCAACTCGTGATATAAAGCAAAAGAAAAACACCAAGAACAACAACAACAAAATCCGTAAAACTCTTTTTCTTCATATCAATCGTAGAAAAAGTGACAAAATTCGTAGATGAAGTGTCACAAAAAAGAAAAGACACACGTACATATGTACGTACGAATGCATGCATGCACGCACGCACGCACGCACGTGTGTACGTAAGAACATACATACACACAGATACTATAAAGACTCGTCGTCAATACAGAGAGAAGTCGTTACAAAACAAAAACACACTCCGGGAGAGAAGATAAACAGTAGCAGTAGCAGTATTAATGAATGGTACAGGTTATCAATTAAGCCAGAAAAAACGGAACAATACAATTTAGACGATGAAATGAGTATGAAAAAGGCAATTACAATACAATACAATAGGTAGGAACAATACGCACTAACCAAGTGCAGTAGGTACACAAAGTACCATGTACGCACACATGATGATGATGATGTTGAACAGAGGAGAAAGAAAACCGAAGGCGTAGAATTTTAAGACGGAGAGAGAGAAAGAGACGGGCACAGAATACACTGTCATTAACTAACAACACAAGACGGTTTAGAATACTCAGCCTGGTTGAGTACACAAAATGGAGGGGGGGGGGGGCGAGCGAGAAAACACAAGAATAACGAAAATTTCTGAACCGAGTAATTTTACTTTTCGCTTGCTTTCATTCCATCATTATAATTAATATATTTTAATCAAGTGAGATAATTCGCGGACATGTTGAGTACCACACAGACACTCACACGTACATATGAATATTGAAGGGATAAGAGATACACATAGCCAGAGATGATACGATATGAGTACACGCACTTTTGAGTCGAGGTGGCCTCTTTGGAAAACAACAACAACAACAGAAGGAAGAAGAAGAAGAAGGGGAAATTCGTGACACCGGCATAAACCTGGTGACTACCACTACCACTACTACTACTAATAACACTATTACTACAACAAAACATCATCTCTGATCAATGGTCACAATTGAGTACTGCTCAGAAAAACGTATAAAAAGTAACAACAAAAAGGGGGATACAATAATAACCCTCGCCTCTCTCGGCTTATTTCTTATTTGTTTTTTGGTGTTTTTTTATAAATCACACAATAAAAAATACACGACGCACAAGCACACAGGTTATGGAGAAAAAGAGGAAATCAGACAGACTACAAAAGATGGAAGAATTGAAGAGGAGGACGGAATGCAACAGCAACAACAACGACAAACAACAACAGAAGACAAGATCCTTCCTCCAAGCCACGAGGAGAAAACAAAAATCAAATCAAATAATATTACCTGATGTACAGACATAAAGCTACACTCCCACAACACTTGGAGACAAATCTTGTTATTCACGCGTGTGAGATGATTACGCTGAGGGATAGACGAGGAGGAGAAAAAGATGGAAGTTGAACACTGTTGAACACTGATCGAGAAGAGGGGTGTTTGGGTTTTGGTACGTAAAAAATAATAATATAAAAAACAAAGCAAAACAAAAACGCACAGATCCAAAACCGATCACAAAATTTACACGCACACTTACACACACATAGAAAAGGCACACAGTAGTGGAGTAATGCTGATTTGTGTACGAGTGTGTGTTTATGTGTGAAGGAGGAGAAAGAATACAGAAAATAAAACGAAAGGCACTGATGAACACTTTTCACTGAAAGAATGTGTGTGTGTGTGTCAAAACAGAGAGAGTTCTTACTCAAAAAGTAATCAAAACAATTTGTAATCGATATATCGATGAGTAACACAATAAGAATAAGAATAACAAAATTAGTACACAACCATACAACATATCAGAAGACGGTATGCCGGTGGAGTATGATCATGGTGGTGATTACGTCATCACCATCACCACTTTAATAGTGTAATACATTTTTCTCTCTGTATGTATATTTATGAATGAAAGACGCACAAAATAATTCAAACAAATCAATCAATAGAATAATCAATACTGTTAATACACAACTAAGCGTATTAACACTCTGGTACAATTATGAGTGAGTACTCTGTTACTATCACTAATACTACAAAATAATAATATTCAATATATTTCTGTCTAGTACGCTATTTTTTGTGAAGGTGGGGTGTGATGGATGGTTTTACACAATTCATCGACTGAAGAAGAAGAATGGAACAGTTCCAACGCACTCGCGCGCGCGCACACAAAGAGACACTGACTGACTAAAGAATTTTCAACGACGCGTCAATGAACACACCTAAAAAAGACCTATATAAGGCCATTTTCCTAATCGACGACGACTGTAGTATCATGTAATTAATCGATTGAGTAGACTCATAATTTTGAGCACTGCTCTTTGTCACAATCAGAAGAGAATCAGAAGAGAAGAAGCGATTGAAGATACACACATACAGAGAGGAGAGGAGGGGGAAAAGATCCAGTGACAAAATTGGGCACCGAGAATAACAATGATAAAAGACTTATTTTTTGTTTAATGGATTCACCCCCACCCCGCCCAACCTATTCATGGCATAGATACACCACAGTTGCGTAGGTGTGGTGTAGGTGTCTATTTGTCCATGTGTGTGTGTGTGCCTGAAAAAGGAGAAACAGAGAGAGAAACAGACGTAAACTCAAAAAAAGAAATCTACAAAAGGCAAAACAAAAATTAAGAAGAATGGAAAGAGATGCAGAAAAATCACATGGACATCGCCGTGAAACAAATCCTTGAACACATCTGTATGTTTGTAGGTGTGTGTGTGTGCGTGGGCGTATATGCGTGTCGGTAAGCTGATTTATGAAATGGTGGTGATGAATGCAATGGATTAGTGTTCACAGCGCATCAACATTGTAAGCAAAACAAACAATTTAAAGATCAAAAAACTGAACAAAAATCACCGAAAAAAAACACAAAAACAAACAAGAAACAAGATGGAAAACAAAACAGTGATGATGATAATGACGATGAAGAAGGAAAGGAATGTGAGTGTGTGTCAGAGTGTGTTACATCACCAGTTCCTTCGACCAAACACCCACTGAAGCGCCCGCCCACCCGCCCTCCTTGCCCTGTGACTTCTTCACAACTGGGAAAATATTTCTATGGTAAATACCAAAGAAGCTCGTAACTATTCTGCATACTCCTTGGTATACGAACTTGATAAACAGGAGCATACTGATGATGGTCGGAAAACAACAGTGATGATGTTGATCACTGATGGTAGGGCATTTTAGGTAACTACACACACACACACGCACGCACGCACGCATACACACACGGAAATACGCAGACCGGCACTTATAGAAGGGAGAATAAAAGTCTGTGGAATAACAGTATCGACAAGAAGGAAGAACCAGAATAATAATAATAATAATAATAATAATAATAATAATGAAAACAAAATCACGAAACATTTTGAAACTGTTTCTTTTCTTTTGAGGGGCGTGGGGGCTTGATGATTCAGTTCAACCAAAGCCAAACTAAAAACAACAAAAAGAGAGCGCGAGGAAAGAGAAATAAGCAGAGAAAAGAAAGATACAAAAAGACCAAAGATGAAATATCATATCACACTACAGTCGACTACACCACGCCACGCCACACCACTCCATGTTAGACAGAGAAAAAGAAGTGATTGTAGTGATTGAGATGTGAAACAAACAATCCCTTAGGGTTTCTTTATTACAGTTACGTAGAAAGTGAGGAGAGAGAGAGAGACGACAGGTACAAAATGAAGGCACACACACACGTAGGCATTTACACACCCGCGTGAAAAGAATGCTTTTGACGGCGTATGATGCACGAGGCACTCCATATGCAAATATGATTCCCAAAATTTATTGTTTTGTTTTCGTCTGACGAGGCTTTTTCTTACTGTCTGTAGAGAAAATATCTAAAAAAAATAGGGGAAGAGAGTAATAATCAGAGCATTGTGTATATATGTAAAAAGATAAGAAAAATAATAGAACGTATATTGATTATTTTATATAGAGAAACCTGGATAAAGACAAGCTGTTATATATGTCCAAACCAAGTTCACTTTTAACAGTTTGAAAAAATTTGAGCATTGGATATATGATATTCATTATAATAAAGGTTTTTGTATTTCCCAATGAATGAAAAAGAGCGAAACGATATTGTTTTTACTGACGTTTCGCTATTTATTGCCACTAATAGCTTTATCAAAGTATTATTATTAAACCGGAATTTACAAAATCTCAGCATATATATAACAAAGAGTTAAGAGGTGAGAAAATAGACTACTTAGGTCAAGTTAAAGGGACATATTGAAAGTTAAAATAACAATGAAGATCACTAAACCAAATAACAAAGGTAATAGTACATCTGTTATGGTATCAAAATAAAGTTTACTAACTTGATCATCGTTCGTCAGTATGGGGGTCATTTTTCGCAGTCAAGTTGGCTAATTGGTAATGATAACAAAACTAAGTGTAGATTGTCGGATTTGATCAGTGTTTAAAATTATAAAGGCAGTGTGTGTTTACATAGTGAAATTGCATATCACAAACGTGTTGATTTTGTCACTTCACGTGGGAGGGAGGTGTTGTAACCAGGTCAGATTCTGTTTTAGTCCATCGTTCCTATTCAGGCAATTTGTATTCCACTTGATATGAAGTGCTTCTGATGATGTGAGACGTTCTTTGTGGTTTCTGAAGTTTTTCTGGATTATTTCAATATTGTCAAAATCAATATATCCTTTTAACTTGACTTAAGTCTATTTTCTCACCTCTTAACTCTTTGTTATATATATGCTGAGATTTTGTAAATTCCGGTTTAATAATAATACTTTGATAAAGCTATTAGCATTAAATAGCGAAACGGCAGTAAAAACAACAATATCGTTTTGTTTTTCATTCATTGGGAAATACAAAAGCCTTTCTTATAATGAAAGACAAGCTGTGGTATCTAACTTCTACCTATGTGCATATATATACTACGCACACACATACACACACATCAGTTCACCTGTTCATATGGAGGCAAGTATATTTAATCGTTAGACGAGTATCCTGTCTGAAAGACTTTAGAAACTCTATCACACATGACTGTAAGCAGCGCTTCCCCACAAGGAGAGCAGTAATTCAACAACTCGTCGACTTTAGCTTCTCCAGAATATACAATGCACTGATCAAGGCAATCTACTCGATCTCACGCAGCCAGCCAGGTGACAGCTTAAGGTGAGTTGTCATCTGAACTGGTGACAACTAGTGGTATCCGACAGGGATGCTCACTATCCCGATTTCTATTCAATTTTATCATGGATGTACTAATGGACTTAACCCTAACTCACTTCAGTGACTCAGGGATTGACTTGTTACCACTAGGGAATAATCTCGTTGACTTATAATAGGCAGATGATATAGTCCACCGTCCTAGGTGAAGACGCTGAAAAATCCAGCAGAGTCTTACGAACACCTTGAGCTGCAATCTGCGTATGTTTGGCATGTGATTCGCTCCAGCAAAATGTAAGACGATGCTACAGGACTGGACTACATTGACTCCCAGCTTAGAAATAGGGAAGGAAGTGGTTGGTGGATATAATGTCAAGACCTTGATATGATTATGAGCAATAAATTGTGCTCGAAACTTCATCAGTAGACATTATTGTATAACACTGTGAGACTTTATCAAAACAAATTCTATCCGTAATGGAATTATACTCTACCACAGTGCACAAGTTTTATTCTTATTCCCATAGCTTCGGCTATGTGTGTAAAAGGTGGGTTCAAATTCCATTAGAAAGTTTCACTGGAATGCAATAGATAACTTTGAAGGCATTTCTTCTTCTGTCCACTTGGTGACCTCTATCAATCAAATGAAACGAAATTGAACTTCTCGAAGATTTTACTTAGCCTTGCCCTAAGCATGAAGGAAGACGCTCACTAATTTCCCTGTAGAGCATATTCTCCTAGGCTCTAATAGTATACAGTTTTAACTAGTGCTCATTTAAAGCTACTTGTACAAAAACTGTGTTAAAATTGTTTCTGTAGATATACTTAATAATGGCTTTGGGCTGTCAGCAGCTGATGAGAAGCTAACGAAACAAAAGATGGTGGTGCCATTTTTTCCTGCACAAACCACACTGTTGTTCTTGCTGTATTCAAATTCATTAATGGGGAATAAATGTATGAAGCTTGTATTTGCGTCAGTCAGTCAGTCAGTCTGTTGGCATTTCAGATAGTGTTATTATTCCACAGACAGAGAAAGGCAATCAAAATAAACAAGTATCTGAAACAACTGTGAAAACTAACAATAATCACTAAGGGTACTGAAAAACGAGGAATATCTAAATCACATTACTGCTATTATACATATCATACGGAAAAATAACAAATGGAGTGTAGAATAATTTCCAGTTTACAGAGATTGTTGGTTTGCAGTTAGCTTTATTTATCCACCCCCTTGCCATGATTTTGAGGTGAACCTTAGGATGTATGACATTCATTCAGTGGTATATCACTAGGAAGGGAAGATACGTTGTATACTTTTTCGTAAGCACTTCACATGAGTAATAATCACATGCCAAGCCCTCGTGTGGAATCCAAGTGGGAAGTGAAGCGTTAAACATCATCCGAGAGTTTGTGAGAATTTGGAAATGAGAGTGTTTGTAAGCAATCATGAATCCAGTCTAAAAATGCAACACAGAAGAGAGTGAGACGGAAATGTACTGCTGAAGGCCTCCGTTCCATCTAGAATCCAAGAAATGACTAATAATAATAATAATGGTTTTCAAGAGCTAGTGTGTAGGGATTAGATTTGTTTCAACTTTGACTGTAACGACAGAAGACAAGGGTCAGACAACAGATCGCTTATTTGAGGAAATCAACAGATATTTATAAATTTTTATGTACATTATTATTAGCGTTATTGTTAGCAGGGAAGTAACGTCTTCTGATTGGTTGTTTTTCTGCTGAAAGTTAATCTGTCACCTCTTTGTGGCCGTTTCTCTGAAGGTCAGACCATTTACCTGCGAATCGTATCCGCCCACGCCAAGTCTGCTGTGATTGGTTGTTGAGTTAGTCTTTTTTCTTCTGTTTTTTTCTCGTGACCAAGATATGGGAAGTAAACATTGGAGTAAATTGCTGTCTACCAATTTTACCTAGCAGACAGCTCTCACCACAGATTACGGATTGATATCCTTGAAAATAAATCAGATGCTCTGTAATGACTGCCTACAGGACGAATTTACTTGGAGTTCTAGTGGGACATCGTGACCAGTGGGGTCCAGCAGGTCGGGTGTCCAGACAAATACTCGCACCAGTGATATTGGCCAGTGGTCGCGCTGAAATCACGAATTGGTAGAATTTGGAATTCATGAGCCAATGAGTGAGGTCTAACTAGCTTGTCTGGGTTTGAATCCCAATGAGTGCGTACTACCGAAGAGTCTCAAATAGGGATGAAACAGAGCGCTGTGCAGTACTCCTCGGTTCTCAGAGCTTTTTGTAACCAAACTTGAAATAGTAATAATCGCTTGGAAGATGCATAACTAACATAACACCTAACGAATGAATAAGGGTAAGGTCGATCAAATATCTAAATATTCATAATTTCTACTTTTGTAGGGATTTTGAATAATTCCATAGTGAATTTCGTCCTAAACCAACATTATTTTACGAATTATTCAAAGAGATGATATACAGGTGACAGATATTTCGCCTCAGTTCAGTACTCGTTAGCAGACGTAATCAGAAGTCGAACCTCGGATTAACATCGAGCCGATGGATTGGAATCCATGGTCCCGGTGGGTTTAAACTTCTTTCAGTTAACGATATAACGAAACCACTCAACCACACACTAGACATGCCTAAATGATCAACAGTCTTACGTCGAAAACTGAATGCCCGATATTTGTGGTGAGAGCTCTCTGCGAGCTAAAATTGGTAGACAGCAATTTACGTCAATGTTTACATCCCATATCTTAATCATGAGAAAAAACAAGAACAAAGACCAACTCAACAACCAATCACAGCAGGCTTTGCGTGGGCGGATACGATTCGCAGATATATGGTCTGACCTTCAAAGAAACGGCCACAAAGAGGTGACAGGCCAATCAGAAGACGTTTCTTCTCTGCTAACAATAACGCTAATAATAATGTACATAGAAATCTATAAATATCTGTTGATTTTCTCAATAAACGATCTGTTGCCTGGCTCTTGTCTTCTGTCGTTACATATTCAGTCAGTGGTGTAGGATTACTATTAGTGGATACTGATGAGGGCTTTCAAACAAGGACGAAACGACTTTTCAGGTGAGACTCTATAGTTTCCACTGATTCTCTCTAACTGATATTCACCCACCACAAAAGACACATAAATATACATGTCATTCTATTCAGAATAAACATCCTATGATCAACGTTCTCACAGAATTGTCAACAGAAAAATTCAATGTTCAATAAATAAAAAAACAATGCAAAAAGCGCACTATTTAACTGAAGAAATCAAATCAATAAAAAAAGCAATTAAATCTACTGGCATAGAAATTTTTGAAAGTGTAAAGCTATTTCTTTGTTTGTTTCTTTGAAAAATAATTTTATCTACACTTTTAATTGGAAAAGAAAAGCAGTAGCTTTAATTATCCCTTTTTTGTCTAGGTGTTCCTCTCTCACTCTCTCCCATGATGTGTGTACTACATACCTTGTCATCAAATAACAAGGCAAAATAAAATCATACTCTTTATGATTCTTAATAGGCTTTATAAACTTTACTAAATTAATAATAATTAACGTACATGCATGCATGCAACACACGTTCTCATTACGCCAACATCATAAATGCTCTCTATCTATTTCTATCTTTCTAACCAAAGCCTGTGTGATTGAAACATTTAAAAGTCTAAAAGCTCAATAATAATAATAATATGAATGATTT